ATTATGTTGAAAAAATAATGTACCTATTACTTGTTTGTTTTATGAAAAATATAATTTACCTAGTATGAAAAGTGTACATAATTATCTATTCCAATATACCTACATTATACGACATCCAATATACCTACATTAATTTTAATGTACTTACAATTAGGATTTGGATATTATATGTCATCCAATATACCTACCATTTATCTAAATAATGTACCTATTTTTTTCTATAAATAATATAGCCTTTTTTCTATGAATAAAGTACCTATTATTTGTTTTATTAAAAGTAATTTTTTTAAATGAACCTATTTTCTCTCTCCAAATAACTTACCTATTTTTTTCCTCTAATAATGTACCTATTTTTCATAGGTACATATGCTATTAATAGGGAGTATATTAATTACAATTATGGCAGTTAATGAAATGCTTGAAATAAATTATAAATAAAATATGAAGTTTAGTGGCAACGATGTAAAAACATAGAAATACTACTACCTCTTATATCATACTGGTCATTTAAATTTGAAATTGGGTTTTACACATAGATTTATAGAGTGATGGGTATATATCTAGGAAATAGAAAATGTAGGGATCTATATTGGACAAGCTCTTTATTTTAAACCAAATGTTTCGGCTTTCTATTTATTTTATTTTAGTTTTCATTTTCTTTCTCACGTACCGGGCGCGGGGTTTCCACCCACCCCCGGTTCCGGGGCATGACAAGTTTTGCTTTCCTTTAAATTTTGGTCATGGAATATTTGCAAAATCAATTAGGTACTTATTGTTAGATTTTTCAATATCCATCCAAATCGTTGTACGCAAGTGTCACGTTGTGTTTGGTCACTTTCTGATGGCAACTTTATCATTGTAAAGGCTTAATTATGTACATGCCCCTTGTGCTTTCAAACTTATCTCATATTACCACCTGTGTTTTCAAATGGCTCAAAATACCCCCCAACCTTATAAAAACCGTCTCACGTTACCGCTTCCGTCAGTTTTTTTGATTAAAACTTGAGTTACTCTCTGACCCCCCCCCCCCCCCCCCCCCCCAAAAAAAAAAATTCTAGAACAGCAGCCCTCCCCTTTGTTATTGTTCATCCGACCAGTTTTTGGGCTACCATCTTCTCCTCCAGCCACCCCAAGTGACGACATGGGTATCAAAAGAACCAGCCTCACATCTCAGCTGCTGTCAACCGCCGTCTGGATCGTCGGAAAAAGCAAGAAATTGACCGGTTTTTACCCAAAATCTTCATCGCTCGTTCGGGTGATTCCGAGCACCATTTTCTTCAATCCAGGTATGTTTTTTCAACCTCTCGAGCTGTTCTTACTGCTAGTTGTGTTGGCTAGGAGAAATTTCTGAGTTTTGGAGGGTAAATAAGCGACGAACAATAACAAAGGGGAGGGAATGCTGTTCTGGAATTTTTTTTGGGGGGGAGGGGGGGGGGAGATGAACAGTAACGTTCGTAATGGAACTTCAAAAAAACTGACGGAAGGAGTAATGTGAGATGGTTTTTAAAAAGTTAGGGGGTACTTTGAGCCGTTTGCAAACACAAGTGGTAATCTAAGATAAGTTTGAAAGCACATGAGGCATATACATAATTAAGCCTTGTATAAATGAAACATATATTAATTGATTAAAAGAAACTAGAAAATAAGAAAAGTCAAAAAAAGCAAAAGAAAAATAGCCCCTTCCGTCCTCTCTGTTACTTTGTTTGGGGTGTTCTTCGTGATTTGGATGTCCGTCATTTTAAGGCTTTCTGGTTCATCCAATCCCACTTAACCACTAATTAAACTCTCATCACGTTGCTATATGAACCAACTTATCTGACGACGTGAGGGAGGAGGAGATATGAACAGATTTAATGGGTTATGGTAAAGATAGAATATTAGACTCATTAACTGATGTTGTATAAATAAATCGGAATTTAAGGTTACTGATGCTGAACTTGAAGAGTCAGTTGGACAGGCAAGATATGCAGCTTTTTATTGCGCTTTCTATTGCTGAAATTGTTGCTATGATGTTTAGATATAATCATGAGTTGTTTGTTGTCTGTGCAGGCAATCTTTGATTTGGAAACAGACTCGGACCTGAAAAGTGAACTGAAGGATCTATATATAAATTCAGCTGTGTAAGAACTGTTTACTGAATGACTTTTTATTGTAAACTGTTGCCGATTGTATGATTAATATTGCTCCTTTCTCCAGTCAAGTTGATGTGGTTGGGAACCGGAAGGCGGTTGTTATCCGCAGATCATATAGACGTAGGAAGGCTTATCGCAAGATCCATGTTCTGATTGTGAGGGAGCTAGAGAAGAAATTCAGTGGAAAGGTGATTATTTAAGTTCTTTGGTTCTCTGCCATTTATGAAATCTAGATTTAACCCAGACTATGTTTTCTTCGTGATGTTTTTATGTACTTGTTTCTAGGCACTACATTTTGTGCCTTACAATAAAGGATATTTTATTTTTATCTTCCTAGCTGACTTTTCTTACAGTCAACCCATTTTATTTTTTCTTCTCTTATTTCATTTTTGCTATAATTAAAGTGAGTAGATCTCTGATTCAGACATGTGTTTATTTGCAAATAGTGGTTTTCTTTGGTGGTGTTTATTTTTGTTTGTCATGTGGTAGGATGTAGTTCTGATCGCCACACGAAGGATAGTGAGGCCTCCAAAGAAAGGGTCTGCTGTCCAACGGCCCCGCACTCGTACTCTAACTGCTGTCCATGAGGCAATGTTGGAGGATATGTTGTTTTGCCTGCTGAGATTGTTGGTAAACGAACTAGATATCGACTTGATGGGTCCAAGATAATGAAGGTAAGCTGTCGAAGGAAAACAATATTGTTTGATATAAAGACACACACACACACACACAAACACTTGGAAATGGGAAAAAAAGGGGTTGATTAATGCTTGAAAGATGAAGGCTAAGAACCTTATTACCAAAGAGAGGATTTTGTTACGAAGATGTCCAAAGACTGCCAATGGAATAGATGAATTGAGAACGTAGTACATTTAGGTGGGATGGATATTATAATGGATTTATTATAAAAGTACATGCATAGGTTGTCAAGGGTAGGATTTTGTTTGTTAAGTACCATAATTATCTATCTTCAATGCTGGGCAGGTTTTCTTGGATCCTAAGGAACGAAACAACACGGAGTACAAGCTGGAGAGCTTTTCTGCAGTTTACAGGAAGCTTTCAGGAAAAGATGTTGTGTTTGAGTACCCAATAACTGATGCATAGAAACAGTGTGCGATGGCGCCTTCCAAATAGGTTCCCGTCCCTTTTCTTTATATTTTCTATGAACTTATGCTCATCAGGCAGTCAATTCAAAATTTTGATGTTGAGGGCGCGGTGCAGCGTGCCTTTGGATGGATTTTGGTCTCTTCAATATTAGCACATTTAAGTTAGGTGATATCGGTTAATGTAGCATTTTTTGTTTTCTCTTAGACTTACTCTTTTCATTATGCATGGTCATTGACAAGTTTGCTTTTAGTCTGGTGATTTTGTTTTGTTTATTTAAGTCTATTGACCTATTTTTCTCAATGAATATGCACTGGAAACTAAAGAAGTTTCTATGAACTAGTTATGATTCTTTGTAATACAACCTCTGTATTTGATGCAGCATGTTATGCCATTGCTTTTCTTAACTTCACTAACAAGCAAAAGTTTTGGTTACAATATCTCAAGAAAATATCACAGAGATAGACTTCATCAGTTTGAGGGATCAACAAAAGAGACATGTAAAAGGGCAGAGTACTGAAAGAAATACCAGGATTTATGAATTTGATTACAATTTATTGATTCGCACAAGTCACAGAGTAAGCATTTCCCAAACACTTGGTGCACGTACCAAACGCAACATAACTCACAATGAAAAAAAAAATTAACAAAAGAGTTCACAGATGAAGCCTCCATTTGCAACCAGCACAACAGCAGAGCTAAGAGATATGAACCAATCCCTAAAGCCAAAAGTAGGGACTTGAGGTTCCAAAACCAACAGAGCTCCGATATAAATCACACTTGTATCACAAAGCAGTTATAGACATGGCAACACAAGCATAACACAACAGGAATTGGAATGCCTGAATGCCAACACAAATCACACAACCATTTCCAAATTCTTCGGCCTGTGCCTTGAGGTGGCCGCTTGCAAGCTTGTATTAAACAATTAACATTGATCAGATCGGCAATGGCGGCAAGGGCGGGAACAGCTGGGTGAGGGTGGAACAGAGAGAATTGTCAGAACAAGTAAAAATGTATTTATCGAATGGTATCCACTACATACTGAATGAATGGTACCAGTATATATATACTTACAGTGAAACTAATTAGGAATTGATGTGGTGGAAACTATGGAATATGGAGTCTTGCAGCATTAATTTGTATGGGCAATCAGCTGCGTCATTCCTCCCTGGAAATATATTGTTGAGCATTACAACGAAACATACGACCATACAGTTTATTAATATGAATGAAAACTTATACCGTTTCATTGCCATCATCTTCTTCTTCTTCTTTTTCTTCCACTTCCTCTATTATTTGTTGTCTTTCTGGTCTTGAACCACTTTGAATCAGTGACCCATCAGGGGAAATCTTCAACTCAATCAGGCATTCCTTGACAATTAAAGAGTTTAAGGATGGGACTCTAACAGTGCAATTTCCTGATGAGCAACAGCCTCGCAGACTTGGTAGATAATAAAGTTTCAAATGTTGCAAGCAGCTGAAAGCAATCTCATAATAATTTCTTGAATCTTCTTCATCTTCGTTGCTTGCCACTATCTCTATCATGCTTTCACAATTCTCAACTTCCAAGCTTTTGAGTTGGTGTAAACATTTAGCCACCGAATAAGTTGTTAAGTATTTTAGTCCCTCACAATTTGCTACGTGTAAAGTGGTTAGTTTGTGAAAGGATATTGCGGATGAAGTTAGATTCTTTAATCTGCCACAATTGTACACCTTTAGAATTTCCAAGTTTGGAAAAACTGATTCAGAGTTGTCATTCCCAATCCCTAGATGCATCAACTCCTTCATTTGGTTGAGATACAAAATCTTTATGTGCGGGAGGGTCCTCCCAACTGCATCTATTTCCCCGCTACTAGTTCCTTCATACACAAATATTTCTTTCCAAGGACCATTATAAACAACGAGCTCTTCAAGATTATGTAATTTCTCAAGGAAATGAAATGACTGGGGGTGTGCACAAGAAAATGTAAACTTTTTTAGATTGATAAACAACTTTGCTAGGAGTGGACTATGTGCTTCATACCAAATCTCTGTGTTCTCGTCCAAGTGCAATACTTCCAAGTTGGGGAATGGATTACCCTGAAATAATATCAACATTTGGATGTCATTGTCAACCCTCTTGGCCAGTTGCATAACTAAATACTATATTCAGTGGCATTCACCTGGTCACCAAGGACCAAGGAACATTATGGTCACCTGCCGTTTGATCTCATCCAAGGGCAAATAATGAATCAAGTATTAATTAAATTAAAAAAAATTAATTATTTAAAAAAAACTCAAATATGCTACCAACTTCAATTATAATTTATACCGAAGTGAAATTATGCCTCACCCTTGCTCAGCGGCTTTCACTCTCTAATCCAAAAAGAACTTGGCCTCTGTACTACCTCAGTTTCTTGTCAATTTCCAATTTTGGTTTTTGTGCTTTTCTTTGGGTTTTTTCGTTTCTTGGCTAAATTCAGTACTTATTCAGTTTTTCTTTATACAATCTTATTCGGTGATTTCATGTACTCTATTGGGGAATCCTACACAGAAAAGAAATGAGGCATTTCTGGAGAGTGAAAGGAAAACGTGAGACAGTGAGAGGAGTAAGTGGGTTTAAGCATTAGTTGTTTTTTTTTTTTTTTTTGCTGTAATTGAAATTTTGGGAAGTGTTTTTAAAATTATTTAAGGCTTGAATCATTATTTATCATTGGATGAGATCTAATGGCAGGTGACCAAGGTATTCCTGAATCCTTGGTGACACTATCTTCATCTAATGTCATCGATTGAATTATTTTAAATTTTCGAGTCTTTATTTTGTTGTATACATGTCTTTACTATATATATGTTAGTAAATTACTACCCCCTAACCTCGACTATTGTTTTTATTCGACGGATGTGCTTTGAATTTTTTGACAAGGTGGAGGCCAAAAAATTATTTTAATAAAAGAAAAATCTGCAATACTTAATAATAATAAAAATTGCAAAGAAAATAAGTGAAGAGGAATTTCGCTACAGGAGCAAGAGAATTCTGTACCTTGTCAACGAACAAAAAAGGTTGTTTGATTGGTGTACCCGAATCAAGTCTTTCTTGGAATCTTGAATATTCGGAAGCAAGAATCTCCACTTTACCACATTCAAAGAATATCAATGATTTGAGTAATGGCCACTTGGAAACATGTAGCCCCCAATAGAAAATCCTTAGTTGGGGCATATTTTGCAATTGCACAAGTGTTACTTTAGAGAACACAAACTCAGGTGTCATTTCTAGTCCGTCCTTGGCAACAATTTCTTCCAATATTCCACAATTCTCCACGTACAGCTCGCTTAGCTGCTGAAGACCTTTAGCCACTGAGACTGGAAAGATATTTTTCAGACTCTCACACGAATTTATTTCTACATAATCCAGATTTGGGCACCCAAAAATTTTCAACTTAGTGGTTGATGATGTGTAGTATGCTTCTTTAACGCCAAGTACTACTCCCATGTCAAAAACTACTTGTAGTGATTTGCATTGCTTTATCACTAATGTGCCTAGAGCATTCAATCTTCCCATCATACTTGGCGCAAAGATATTTATTAGACTCTGGCATCTCAAAACTTCAACTTCTTTGAGCTTTCGAAAAGAGTCTGGGGCAAGTTGGCAGTGCCATATAGTCCTCAACTTAGGTATTTCATAGATGATCAAGCTCTCCAAGCTAGGAAATCCTACCTGTACACATATTCATCTCATATACCTTTTTTCATTAATTGGAAATAAATGCATAAAGAAAGGGAAAGAAATTTTCAATTCACCTTTTCATCAAAAAGAAAGTGTGGTATAACAGTCTCAAGATTCTCCTTGGAGTTCCTATTGTCATTTTCTTCGCCCATTGTAGTAATTTCACTCTTATAAGATATTCTAGTGGAAGTGCTACCGATAACACATTTCTATTGAAGATCATATTTCATTATAAATAGACTTTCGAGAATGGATCATGCTTTCGACATGATTCATGAATTTTGTACACTAAATAAAAGCTAATAAATTAAGCGTGGTGATTTCCCCACTCCTTTTTCTCCTATTTTATCCACTTACACTCCTTTTTTATAACTAAAAAAGGAGTGTAAATGGATAAAATAGGAGTGGGGAAATCATTGCCCTAAATTAATATACCGTTTAAATGAATTGTAACTTGGATATAATTTCAATCCTAGCAAGAAACAATATGCATGAAAGAAAAACGAGAAATAAAGGCGTAACTTACCATTTCGTCAAAAAGAAAGAATTGTGCATCAGTCCCAATATTCTCCGTGGAGTCCCTGATCTCTTCAGTTGCTTTGTTGATTGTGATATTTGTATTCATGGGATCAAAGATGAATGTCTCCAATTTAGAACAATCCTCTACATGCAATACCTCCAAGGAATGAAAATTAATAGAACGACGTGCTGAGCAAAATCTAGTGAGGTTCGGAAGATAATGTAGCTTTAGATCTTGTAGCGGACTAAACATGTCATGATCTGTATCTTCCTCACTGGATTCGTTTGTTGGTACTATCTCTTCCATGATTTGACACCTGGATATCGTAAGATTTTTGAGTTGTACAAGACTTCTAGCCATGGAAGATGAAAACAAGAATCTCAAACCACTACATCCACGCACAACCAAGCTTGTTAAGTTAGGCATCAGAACCTGCACACCATAATTCATGTTTAGTAGATAACAACTTAATTACATTTTTAGTAGTTGAATCTCATACAAAATAAAAATATATAAAATTGTGCAAGAGAATTCTTACCTTCTCAACTAAAAAGAAAGGATGTTTAATTGGTGTACACTGAAGGCCCAATTCAAGCTTTTCCTGAAACCTTGAAATTTCGGAAGCAAAAATCTCCACATTATCACATCTAGTCATCGCTAGTTCTTTGAGTAACGGCCACTCAGAAACATGCATACCCGGATAGAACATCCTAAGTTGGGGGAGATTTTCAAACTTCACAACTGTTACCTTTGGAAACACAAACTTAGGCGTTGCTTCTAATCCTTTTTCCTTCACATTAATCTCCATCAACCCACAATTCTCAACACTCAACTTCGTTAGTTGTTCAAGACCTTTGGCCACAGAGGCTGAGAATATATTTATCAACCTCTCGCACGCATCTATCTCTACAAAATCAAGATTTGGGCACTCAAAAGTTTTCAACTGAGTGGTTGACGTGTCATATGCTTCAAATACTCCTCCGAGTTCAAATACCACTTGTAGTAACTGGCACTGCCATATCTCTAATCTATACAAAGCATTCAATCTTCCCATCATACTCCGTGCAAAGATATTTATTAGATTGTGGCATCTGTAAACGTTAACTTCTTTCAGTCTACAAAAAGAGTCTTGAGCAAGTTGGTTGTGCCATACTGTCATCAGTGCAGGTAAGTCATAGATGATCAACCTCTCCAAGCTAGGAAATCCTACCTGTATGTATATTCATCTCATAAACTAGTCAGAACACCTTTTTTCACTAATTAGGTACACATTAATTGGAAATAAATGCATAAAGAAAGGGAAAGAAATTTATAATTCACCTTTTCATCAAAAAGAAAGCGTGGTATAACACTCTCAAGATTCTCCTTGGAGTTCCTATCGTCATTTTCTTTGCCTATTGAAGTAATTTCACTCTTTCTATCAAAGATGAATGTCCCCAGTCTAGGACAATCCTCAATATGCAATGTCTCCAATAATGAAAATTCAATATAACTTCCGGAGTAGAATCTAGTGAGGCTTGGAAGATGTTGCAGATTTAGAGATTTTAGATTGCAAAACATGTTATCTCTATGTTCTTGATTGTATCCACTTGTTGATACTATTTCTCCCATCATTTGGCATGTGGATATCTCAAGATGTTTGAGTTGCTCAAGACGTCTAGCCATGGAACATGAAAACAAGAATCTTAAACCATCACATTGATGCAAGATCAAGCGTGTTAAGTTGGGTATCATAACCTGGGTATAGTACACAATTCATGTTTAATTAGGGAAATGACAATTTACATGCTCATCAGTTGTATAAATTCCAAAATGAGTTGACAAAAATTAAAGGTCTAATATGTCCTTGTGGAGTAAAAATGTATCTGAAAAAGAAAAAGTGGCCTCAAAGTTTATTAGTCTATTAATTTAAAATATAACACATTTTTGTTGAATCACTGAATATTGTACACTAAAATGAATATGCATTATTTAAATGGATTATTTTCTACCTGCAGAAAGAATGAACAAAATGAAATATATACAAAAGCAACTAATTTGTTAAGAAATAAATATAGAACAAATCCGAATGATATGTAGAAAGGCTGGGCATATGAAACCGCAAAACGTACCTCTCCATCCATGAAAAGTTTCGTGGGTCCACCAATTTCATTCTCCAAAATGATTTCTTCGGCCTCTGTACTTACAACTGACCTGCTGCCTTTGGAGGAGAAACCAATCAGCTTTGGCAGATTCCACAAAGTCAAAGATCGTAACTTTTGAAAAGGCTGAGCTATGAGTTGGCCACAACATACAGTTTCCAAATTAACAAGGTTGTAAAGAGATAGTGACTCCAAGTTGGGGAAGGCATGACTCGAGTTAATGACAGCATCGTTGTTTTGGACATGGAGATTCTTCAGTTGTTTACCACTGTCACTTGCTAATATATAGGAAATAATATTTTCAGCCTCCATCCCATCCAAGTCCAAATGTTCACATCTCTTAAGCAGCAATTTTATACCTTGGCTGAATTGACTGCTCGTAGTGAGCTTGAGTTTTAACATGTTAGAGGACTTTCCGTAATTATCAGGATATAGCCAACAATCACCAATTAGTATGATGTATCTTTCTAACTTTGTATCCGAGAACATGTTTGCTGGAAGAAGCTTAGCATCTGGAATATGTATATGTAATGCAGTTAGTTGACGCAATTGTTTCAGCTCTGACACGCTCGCATTACTTCTTCCATCAATTAAATCTCCTTCCCATTCCTTAAAGCTTCCCATTCTCAAGTCTTCTAAACTTGTCAAGCTTGATATAACGCCAGCTGGGATCCGTGCAAGTTCAGAGCAATGGGTCAAATCCAACAATTGTAGACGAGTCAATTGCCCTATTTCTTTGGGCAAATCTTTCACCTTAGATTTTAAAAGGCTAAGAATTTTCAAGTTTGTTAGCTGTCCAACTAGAGCTATGTCCCCCAACACGCACTGATCTAAACACAAAGTTTGAAGATTTGTAAGGCATTGAAGAGATGGAGGCAGTGACGGAATTCGCAGTCTGGTTACATCCAACACTTTGAGTTCCTTCATCCCTTCAAAATAGTTGCCTGGGATTTCCAAGGAGTCATCAATATTATGATTTTCCAAGACAAAAAGTCTCAATTCTGGGCATACCCAAGGTACTTCAGGAAGTCTGGGGATCTTGCAAGATTTCAAGGAGATCGCCGTGCATTTTTTAAGGGAATTTCTATCTGGCCATTCTGTCAGCTCATCTCCATATGCTTTTGCAATGGCGTGATTATCTTTAGATGCAATCCCCATAGCAACATCTCGTACAAGCTCATGCATTCTAATCTCTCCATCATCATCAATATCTAGCAACAGACAATAATCTTTAATAAGTTTATTAGCTAGTGAAATCAATTTATCCCGTGCCTCTTCCACTGTATCAACATTTTTCACCAAACTCAAACCCATAGCATATTTCAACAAGTCACTGAGATAAATTTTATAGCCACCCCCTGCAATAATTCCACATAGCAAAAACAATGGCTTAAGCTCGTCGCCATCCAATCGATTGTAGCTCCATTCTAAAGCCAAGTAGGCTGATTTTGCCAATCCATGTTCGTAAAAACTTCTGAAGTCCCTCGAGGCAACTCTCCATTCCTCTAAAGTAGTGGCTGACCTTAGAGACCTTGCAACTGCAACAACTGAAACCGGCAAACCTCCACATTTTTTGGCTATTTTAGTTGCTACTTCATGTATACGGTCATCTTTAACAACGTCACCTACCATCTTCTCAAATAAACTCCAATTTTCTTCCGTCTTTAAAACTTCAAGCCAAAACTCTTTTTCCACATTCATCTCAGAGACTCGATTTCTAGATGTCAACAATATTTTACAAGTTGCCATTGGGCGAAGTCCCAAAGCCTCCAAATCAATTGCTTCCCAGACATCATCTAAAATTACAAAAATGTTCTTGTCTTTTATTCTATTCCATAGATGCTTTGCCCTCGCTTCTATATCCTGAATCTTATCAACATCCATACCTAACTTTTCAGCAATTTTTTTTTGAATTCTTTCCATTTTTTCCAAGTCAGGATACTTTTTCACATCCAAGACTATAACCGCCTCATCAAATAAGTTCTCTTTCGTAGCTTGTCTATACACTTCTTGGGCGAGTGTGGTCTTCCCAACACCACCCCATCCGTACACCCCAATCATGTTGGTATCAGGATTTTTCAGTTCCTTCATGATTTCATTCACCATTAAAATCCTTGATTCAAAGGCCATGTAGTTTTGAGAGGGCGTGGCACATATCTCTTCCAGGGGAGGATCGTAAGAAACACTAGGAAACTCTTTTTTTGCATGTAATTCAATCTTTTTTGCCAATTTTGTTGATTTCCTGCTAAACTGATGATACGACACCAGATTAGGACATACTCCATTGAAACACTTTGTCTTTTCTTGGCCTTCATTTCCCAAAATCTTTTCTGCTTCTTGAGTGATCCCATCTGCTTCTTTTCTCCAGTTCTGGACATCAGTTTCTACTCCTTTACCATTTCTTTCAACTTTATCAACCCTATGCTTCATCCGGTCTTTGGCAGCATCTAAGTTATTCAATTGACTCCTCAGACTTTCAAGGTTGCTTTTGTAGTTAATCAGATAACCCACTTGTCGCCCAACTGGTTCAACTATGTACTCGATTACTTTAGAAATAATTCCGCTGAGGATCTCCATGGTTTTTTTTTTTTTGTTTTGCCTTTGGAATGAGACTCTTGTATCTGTTGAATAAACGAACCCAAAAACAAGAAAATGAAAAAGAGTAAAAGAAAAAATATTAAACCAATTGAAATGAAGAAGGAAACTACAGGGCATACTAAGCTTGTGATGTCAAACAAAGTGGGGCAAATATTCAATTATGCTCAGATACGCTCATATTAGCTTATCTTATTATTCTTCTCCAATATAGAGGTATTTATAGAGAAGTACAACCCTAAATAAAATAGGAAATAAATCCAAATTACAATAAAAAATAAATATAAATTACAATATGAAATAAATCTCAATTATAATAGGACTAGATAAATGGTAAGTAACTAAAATCCTAACATAGTAAGGAACCAAAATCCTAATTAAGTAAGGACTCGCCAATATTCCCCCTCAAGTTGGGCAAAGATATTTCGCAAGCCCAACTTGACAAGCGAGTCACAGAACACCATACTTGAGAAGCACCAATTGTAGAGAAGGTCTTTTAGTCAACCACGAGTGAAACAATTGACAAAATAAAACAAAGTTTGCAACGGAAACACAAGAGCAAACCCTAAAAAATAGGGCACATAGCAGAACACAGAAACCCTGTGAGTACGGCAATAGGTAAGGCAGAACACAGATACCCTGTGAGCACGGCAGTATGTAAGGCAGAACACAGAAACTCTGTAAGCACGACAGTAGGTAAGGCAGAACACAGGCCCTGTGAGCACGACAGTAGATAAGACAGAACACAGAAGCTCTGTGAGCACGGCAGTAGATAAGGCAGAACACAAAAGCCCTGTGAGCAAGGCAGTAGGTAAGGCAGAACAAAAAAACCATGTGAGCACGACAGTAGATAAGGCAGAACACAGAAACATTGTGAGTATGACAATAGGTAAGGCAGAACACAGAAACCTTGTGAGCACGGCAGTAGGTAAGGCAGAACACAGAATTCCTATGAGCACGGTAGCAGATAAGGCAAAACACAAGCCCTGTGAGGCAGATAAGGCAGAACACAGAAACCCTATGAGTACGGCAGTAGGTAAGGCAGAAGCAAAGGCAAAGGGTAAGGCCACAGCAACAACAACGACAATGACCACATCAACGGAAAGCGAAGCAAGCAAAGGCAACATCAACGGTGGCAACATCGACCACAACATGAACACACCAGCAAAGGCACGAACTCGATAGAAGCAACAACAACAATGTCCCCAGCAAGAGACAACAAACCTGGCAGCAGCAAGGTCAACGGTCATGATCGCAGCGGAAAAACACACCAACAAAGGCACCAACACGGTAGAAGCAACAACAATAATGTCCTCAGCAAGAGACAATAAAACTGATAGCAGCAAGAGCAACACAATGCACTAGCACCAGCAAGAGCAATATAAGGCACTGGCACCAACAAGACAAGGCAAGGCAAACAATTATGGTAGCAACAATAACAGAGACAACTTCAATTCACTTCCCATAAGCAAACAACTGTGGTAACAGCAACAACAGAGACAACTTCTCTTCACTTCCCCTCTCCCCCTGAAGAGAAGGGGTCGATGAAGCACATATGAGCAGTGGTACTTGAGAAACAGGCACATACAATCAACCATGATAAATAGGTAGGTGAATTGATATGGAATAGATGAACAGCAGCGTCACTCCCCCTCAAATCCGACGATGTATGAGAGTCGATATTTGGAGAAAGTAACACCCAAATAAATAGAGAGTAAGAAAACACAGATGTTTCCGGGTAGGAAGTGAAACACATTATCAAATGGAAAAAAAAAAAAAAAAAAAACCCATTAGGGAAGCACAGAGGGAGAGGGGTCACTATTTATTATGTGAGGGAAA